TGCCCACCCGCCGGCCCGCTGTGCCCGCCCAGCAGAGAAGGAGGCGGACGCCTATGTGCCGCTGTGGTTCGAGAAGAGGCTGGACCCGCTGACGGGGGAGACGGCCTGCATGTACAAGGGCGGCTACTGGGAGGCCAAGGAGAGGCAAGACTGGCACATGTGCCCCAACATCTTCTGAGCGCCACCCCCTGCGGCAAATGCAGGCGCCTGCACAGCCCGGGCCACCTTTTCTTCAATGCACTCCATTCAGTACAGAACGACCCTTCTCTCCCACCCGCCTGCATCCCCCTCCTATTTTCTTCTCCCTACCCCCCGCCTTTTTTTTAAAAGAACACTTTTTGGGAGCTCCCACCTCAGAAGGAGGAAAGTCTGACCCGGGTTCTCTCAGGACCCCTGGTGTGCTGGGTCACCTGAGCCCCTTCATTGTGGACTTGGGCCCCACGGGAACCCAGCTCCCGGTTACCACAACTCAGGCCGGCTGGCCCGGGCCATGGGCTGCCCGAGTCACCAGCCCCCAACCCAGGGAGGAACTGGCCCCGCCTAGGGAGCCTCTTTTGACTTTTTTAGAAAAATGATCTCCAATTCTTTCCAGCCGTGACATTTAGTAAATATTTTTTAGTACAGCACTTAGCAGACAGCTTTCCAAGTGTGCTCTCTTGCCACAAATGTGTCCTGGCAAGAGCACCTTCTTTTTAAGACATCAGAAAGCCAGATCCCTTTGAGTTGGGAGCATTTTGTAGCTCAACATAGCAAGGCCCTGTTTGTATTTAAGCTGCCCACCGCCCAAGAGCCCAAGGTCCCCAAGAGACCAGAACAGAAGGGGGCTGCCCTGACCCAGCAGAGCACAAGGAGTCTGTGGAGCTGCCACCCACCGATGAGGGAGAGGATCTGAGGGTAACAGCCCCTTGCCTAGCCTTGGAAGTGCTGGGGCAGCTCCGTAGCCCCAAAGAGGCCAGGAAGGGCTGGAAGGCAGGGCCTGCAGGTGCTCCCCACCCCGAGAACCAGGCCCCAAATCAGCAATAACGAACAAATCCTTGGCTCAGCCTGGGCTAGTGATCCAGGCACCAGAGACCCAGCAGCCCGTCTTGTCCTCAGGCGGCTCCGGGGGTGCCTCATCTCAGCACCACCGAACTCTTTATTTGCCTAATTTATATATATGTGATATATAAATATATATAAAATAGCTATTTTGCTTAAATTTCTATGGTATGTGAAAGAGTAAAAATGATGAAGACAGGGCATGCCTGTCTGAGTTTGGCCGTCCTGTCAGCTGTGCCCTGCCCCCTCCCTGGACCCTCTTCCAGCGGCTTCTGCCAACTTCGGGGTGTTGGGGGACTGGACATTTGTGGCCACTGTCCCAGCCCCTCAGAACCCCTCACCACAACCTTTCCCACTTCAGTTTGGTCCTGAAAGTTCATCACAGGGTGTTTCTTTCTACTCCAGGATTGGTTTTGGTCTTATAAAAAACAAAAGTGAAAACACCATTGTGTGAATTGCCTTATGATGCCCACTCAAGAGAGGTGGGACAGGGCAGGGCGGCCCTACCAGGCCTCCCCTCAGAGCTCAGAATGTACCTCTTCCCAACACTGTTTGTGAGCAAGCACCTTTTGACAGGTAATAAAAAACCTCGACTTTGGAGTTTTCCACTGTCCTGTCCCCGCGTCTGTCTGTGGCAGGATAGAGGGGGACTCAGTCAGGACAGGTGACAGCCCACAGGGAAGCATGGCTGGGAGGAGCATGAGGCTTTATTCCTGCTCAACACCAACGCAGAAGGAGGTAGGTCTGTAGGGGGAGGGAGGGGAGAAGATGTGTTGGGACGGGGTCTGTGCCAGGAAGGCTGCCCAGAGGGCCAGTCAGAACCACCTGACACAAACCTAGGGGTCACAGCTCTGCCAGGGGCTGCCCTGATGCTGCAGCCACGGGCCGGGTCAAGACCCAGATCTGCCGCTCCCTCAGAAGGGCAGTGTCTCAGCCACATGGAGGCCAGCAGGAGCCTCTTCCTGTCTCTCAGTTCCTGGAATTCTCTAGGGCAAGGCCAAGGTAACCACTGCCCTCCAAGAGGGAAGGTCCACCCTGGTGAGTTCCATGTTGCTTGACAGCCATGGCCTGGACTGCTTCTGTTGCCCCAGTTGCCAAGCAACTCAGATCACCAGCTCAGCTCCTAAGACTCTACAGGAGCAGGTCATTGTCTGGCCTGCTCGATCCTTCTCCCACTGCCAGCACTTCCAGGTGAGGGGAAGGGGTAGGTCTGGGCCCTGCCAGGACATCAGAGCCAGGACACTGACCATCTGCCTCAACTCCCCATGCTGTGGGATCCAAGGCTGGCCCTGTACAGCTCCTTCTCTGGCTTGGCTTCCCCATCTGTGGGGAGGTGGCCACTGGGGAGCCCCAGCAGAGGAGCTGGAGGGGCAGGACTCACAGGAACAGAAGTGGTGGTGAGGCGACCCAAGGATGGACTTGACCTAGAGGGCAGTGGAGGGGGCTGCCAGGGGAGGGGATGGGCTGCATGGCCATAACCCAGAGGTGACAAAGGCCAGTCTACTGAGGCAAAGGGATGGATCCAAAGAGCCTGGAGTGGACCAGGCAGAGCTCTAAACAGGGAATGACAGCAGGACGATGTCCTAGAAAGACCACTGATCAGCGGAACACAAGAGTGACCTACACTCAGTGGTCTTGCTATATACCAGCCATCACTGAATAGAAAATATGAAAAAAATAAAAAGATTCTGCAACATAGGCCATAAGGGACCACAGAATACATCTGACAAAAAGATATAAAATATGTAAAATACCTTTATGGATGTGACAGAGAAAGATCTGAGTTGAGGGAAAATGCCATCATCATAGATGGGCAAACTCGGTTATATTGGTCCCAAATCTACAGATTCAACATAATCCCTGTCAGAGTCCTACCAATATATTTCAAAAACTTGACAAGTTGATTGTGAAATTTATATGGGAGAGTACTTGCACAAAAAGTGGCTTCAAAATTTTCTAAAAATTCTAAAAAAGAAGTTGGAAGGGTGTGGGGGGGAGGGAAGACAACTGGGCTTGCCGTGCAGATACACAAACAAGCTGGGAAGCCACCGACATGCGGCCTCCTTTTCCTCCATTGCACTGTCCTCACCACCTGGCATACCGTGTACTGTACTTGTGTGTTGATTGTCTGTTTCCCCTACCCCCATGGACTGGGAGCTTCATGACAGTAGGAATCTTGTCTGTCTTACACATTGTAGCATCCCCACTGTCTGGCACATAGGAGGTGCTCAATAAGTAGCTGTTGAATGAATTCATTCCAGGCCAGGAAGAGCAGCCAACGAAGGCTCCAGGGGGACAGTACCTGGGTAGCCCAGGAGTGTGCTGCAGTGTTAAGTTGTGAGGGGGGGCCTCAGAGATGGACCTGGGGAAGAGTTGAACTTAGGAGCCCAGGAAACTCCTGCTTTCCCCAAACTCTGGAGTCCAAATCATTGCTCTTGACAGACTGTGGGGTAGGAGTCTGAAAGAATCTGTATGGGGGAAGAGGAGGTCTGTCTGAGGTTCCCTTATCTCCAGGGCTGGGGCTCAGCATAAAGGTGTTGTGGGGAGAGGAGAGGACACCAGAGAGACAAATTTCAAAACATAGCACAGAACAATATGGCCAGAAATGATCCCAATGCTATTTAACTTATTTTTATGAAGCTAGCCAGCATGCATGACTTCAATAATAACACCTGATAAAGACAGTGCTAAAATATAAGAAATACATAGTCTGATCTCACATAAGAAAAATAATTCTCATAAACGCAAATAAGACAATAGCAAATAGAATCCAGCCACCTACAAAAAAACTGATACCCTAAGTTGGTAAATCCATGCTCAAGTTGGGTTTACTGTGGAAATGCAAGAATGGGTCAATGTGGGGAAGCTTTTCATTGTAAATGAATCATTTCATCAGCCAGTTCAAGGAGGATTTTTCTTTCGGCAATATGGTAGACTCTTCCTGGAAAACACTCCTTCACGGGAAACTAGACATGCTGGATAAAATTTTTAAAATCTTAAATTCATCCATAAACTGGAAAGAATGTTAAGAAAGACTCAGGCCAAAAATTAAGTAGGTGTGGAAACCTGGAGAGGTAAGAAGAGCTCTGAAATCTGCTTTTACCTCATAGTTATTTACTAAGCCCAGTGAACCTAACCATAAGTTTTCACTGCCTCAATACCCTCCTCAAGTAGGGAGGGCATCTAATAGATGTTCCCTATAAAGCTGGACCCCCAGGGCCGGCCCGGTGGCGCACTGCTACAGTGCGCCGCTTGGGAGCGCGGTGGCGCTCCCGCCAAGGGTTCGGATCCCACATACAGACCGGTTCCCACTCACTGGCTGAGCGAGGTGCGGGCACGACACCGAGGGTTGCGATCCCGTTGCCGGTCCCGGTCCGGTACGGGCACGACACTGAGGGTTGCGATCCGTTGCCGGACACGAAAAAAAGACAAAAAGGAAAAAAAAAAAAAAAAGCTGGACCCCCAAAGAGCCATACTGTCACTGTAATGGTGAATCCAAAACAAAGTACAAGAAAAATTGTTTATTTTAAAGGTTGGTCCTTAGCAGAGCAGAGAAAAATTCCATAAGAATTTGTCATCAGGCATGAACCCTCAGTTTTGCAGCCCAAATACACACTACCTGAATGGTCAAATAAAACTTCTAGCAGAGAACATACATAGTCTTAAATTGGCAACGTCCTCAGTCACCTGAGGAAAGCAAACAAGTCCTCTCTGGGGAATCTCCTCTTCATTCCAGGCCTTATGGAACCCCAGATATGAAGTTGCAAAGAAAATTAGCAGCTCACAGTAAAGAAATCTCGTTTCACAAGGAAACAAGCACCCATGAAGGGCCGAGAGAAATAACAGACTCAGACAAAAAACTCTTCCATATAGTAAAATTATCACATACAGAATAGAAAATAAGATATGTTTAATATACTTCTAGAAACAGAAAGGCAACTTGAAAATAAGTAAATATTCAAAAAAATACTCTTAAAATTCCAGAAATTTTTCAAAAATAACAATAATTTTATAACAGATTACACAGCCAAAGAGAGTATTAGTGACATGGAAGTGAGATATGAAGAAATCCAGAATACAACACAAAGACACAAAGAGATGAAAAATATAAAAGGGAAGTAAGAGGCATGGAGGATAAAGTGAGAGGGTCTCACATGTGTCTAATCTGAATAGTATTATAACCATCTTTAAAAACTTAAATCAGCTAAAAAAAAAATACCCCCTCCAACATATACACACAAAATTCTAGACATAGATAACCAAGGAATAATTCCAATCTTACAGAAACTATTCCAAGAGTAGAGAAAAAGAGGAATACTCCCAAACTCATTTCTTGAGTGTAACATAATCTGGTTACAAAAACCTGACAAGGACAGTTACAAACTAGTGTCACTAGCAGTAGTACAATTCAAAACAAAATACTAACAAATCTAGCAATACAGAAAAATTATAATCATTATTCCAGAAATGCAAGTTGGTTTACCCTGAGGAAAACTAATATAATTCACCACATTAACCAATTAAAGGAGAATGCTACATGGTCATCCCAATGGATGCAGAACACACTTCATTAAAATGCAACATGCATATTGGACGAGAAAACACAGGAAGGATTCATTTAACGAACTGTACCACATCAGAATTGATCCATGTGACCAGCCTTCAGGGAGGGTATGCTGCTACAGTTCTTTCTGTTGGAATATTCAGGATGGTTCTTTGTTGACTGAGAAAGAAGATGCACAGTTGTTACTTTGGAAACCTGGAACTACAGAGAAGACCTTTACGAAGAAAGACAGTATAAAAATAGCATCTTCTGCGCACCAGCGAGTGCAAATTCACAGTAATGATTCTTATAAGACAAGGAAAAAGCAGTGAAATTATATTGCGAGTTAACTTGATAGGTTTTATAGTTTCAAGTAATTATTTTTGTTAACTACCTGTGGTAGGCATGTTTAAAACTTTAAGTAAAAACAAGCCAGTTAGCAAAGAGTCCTGGAAAAATGTTGAGAATGGTTTAAGTCAACTCTTCACCTATTCTAAAAATAATTTTAAGCCAGGAGTTGAGTATAAAAATTAGTGAGTTGAAAGTATAATTACATTCCTCATTTTAAAAACCCATTTGTTAGTAAATGTTGGGTTTAAAGAAATAGCTCTAATTAAAGGAAAGAAAAAAAACTAATAGGTAGCTGGTAAAACATAAAACAGGTGGTTAGCTGTGTTTTTGTATGCTCAGTATTTTATATTTTAAATTATCTTCATTGTTTAAAAACCAAATCAGACTATTTTCATTTGAGGAGCTTCTTCTAATACACCTAATATATTACATTTGAGTTTTTTTTTTTTCCCTTTTTGTCTTTTTTACTGACCGGTACGGAATCGCAACCCTCGGTGTTGCGCCCGTACCGGGGACCAGCAACGGGATCGCAACCCTCGGTGTTGCACCCGTGCCACGCTCAGCCAGTGAGCGGGAACCGGTCACCACATGGGATCCGAACCCTCGGCGGGAGCGCCGCCGCACTCCCAAGCGGCACACTCTCCAGTGCGCCACCGGGCCGACCCTATATTTGAGTATTTAATGTAAATATTATGAATCTAAATAGAATTTAAA